ATAATATGAAATATTAAGCAATGACTACACTAACCATATATATAAACTTTAATTCGAATAAGATATATAATTTTGACAAGTCATTCTGAAGTATCCCAGAATTTTTTGCGTAGGGTATATATTACATAAATATCAAAAGTGTTAGAAAAATCCCATATATAGTGTAAGATAATCATAAGAAAATTTTCAAGATGATTATTAGGACAATTCTAATACAGTGGATGGGAAAACTCTTATGTTAAGAATTCATTTATACATATACGTATTTTTTCAATCTTATAAAACAAAAAATATAGTTTATATAAATGGCTCAATGACAACGCGTAGCGCAGTATATTTCTGACAGTGAAAGTGATAATGATATGAAACTAATCTCTTGGTAACAGGGTGAGGGTGCAAACCCCTATCAGAGGCAAAAGATATGGACATTGATACTAAAAGAAAAGAAGGGAGACCAGCTGAAGCAAAAAAAGCTTTATTGACACAATAATATATTCATTTTTCATTTTTTTATTGGCAATTGTAAATAAAAATATCTTACTTTTCCTTTTTCTTGTTGCTAAAATATGAAATTACTACTGCTGTTGAATGAATTAATTATTGCACATTTAATATGATAAAATTGCTCAAAAATTATTGCTATATCGTATCTTAATTATTGCTCATTCCAATATTTTTATTGCTCAAATAAATACTAGCCAATATATTTTATCTTGTTGTCTAATGATGTACACTCTTATCATGATTTTCGTTGCGTTAAGTCAATTCTGTATGATAGCTTAGATGCTATTCTTTAACATATAGCTTCTATGTCTGTTTAACTTTATACATTCGCAACACAAAAAAAAACAAAAAGAACTCTCATCTTATGAGACATCGCATTCATACTCAAAACTTGCTCATGGGCGACAATGATGACTCAGACTAACTCAAAATTTACTGATGTATCTAACTATAGCTATTCGCTTCTTTGTTGCCTTTGCTGAGATAAATGGAAAAACTAAAAAACCTGATAATCATCCCTTATTCACTTGTGGAACATATACTAGCTTATTTGTTATCAAGTGCAGTCTTTTTTCTTTCACCTCTTTTTCTGAACCCTCTTATTAGCATATATTAGCAAGACGGTTCAGAAAGAGAGATGAAAGAAAAGAGGCGTCCTTAGCAACAAAACCAGTTAGTATATATGGCCAACAAATAAATCCAGAATAAGACTCATTCTATTTTGATCTACACAATATATAGAAAGATGAAAGACTATAGTATTGCTCAGGTTCCGTACTTTAACGAATAACTGTGTTGCGTATGTCGGAGTAAAAGATTTCAAATTGTCGATCGATCAACTTTATCGACTCTTGACAGCTTATTCGAAGAAAAAAAGCTCAATAAGTTATCAAAAAACATATAATACTATAAGCATCAATAGAAATGAAAATAAGCTACACATAACACATATGTCAAACTTGAAGATTGAACTTAATTCAAGTTTCACGCTACTGACAAAGAAAGGATTGATTGCCGCTATCAGAGAAAATAGAAAAATCAATCTATTATATAAAGGATAGATAAATGAGAAGTAATCCATAGAGATCTATGAGAAACTTAGAAGTTATGCATAGCCAAAAACATCGAATGAATAGAAGCTACAAAGAGAAAACGAAAAGACGTACGTTTTAACGTACTCATAAACGATTGACTCATTAAAATCGAGTTTTGTGCACTTGAAATATTTTCTCAGAACGCTAACGTGATGATGCTAATCTGTATAAATTGGATTTATATTGGTGATGAAATAATTCTTTCATGGTATCAGAAGATCAAAGGTTGACCCATTGTAGTTGATGATGAAATAAGTAGATGAACTAGCTTTGAACGAATAAAGTGGCGAGTGAAATTCGCTTCTATATGTGGGGTACAACAACTATTGAAAGTTATCTCAACTCTTAACTTTATCGAAGGACATAGATTGATGATTTCATTACATAAATGAAAATACCTACATGAAATTATTTTCTTTTTTCCTTGGAAAACTTTCGTCTTGATTCTCAGTATCATCTATTTTCTTTTTTAACTTCTCTTCTTCTATGAGAGCCATTGCTCTACATCAAATAAGAAAAACTGAAAAGATGAAAAAGTACAAAATCCATCTCCGCTGACAGATATGATCACAAGATGTGTGCAATTCATTCTTGCATGTTTCTTCCCAATGTAACTCTAGTATGGTGTTATATGTATCTGTTCTGAAGAATTTTTCACCGATTTGTATTTCGAATAATAGACTCAATGAATTTCTTCTTTCTATTTGTTGCATCTATCAGCATGAATGAGTATAATTATTATGTCATTTTCGATCATTTATCATGGCAAACTTATATACACGAGAAAAACTTTCAAAGTGATATTGACTTATAATCATTGGACTTGATAGGATCAAAGCTAATATTCATAGTTGTACTGCGTCTTTTGACTAAGCAGATTACCAATGGATATGAAATACTCACATCTGATTTCAATAAAACAATGAAACACTTGAGATATTCTTAGTAAGGCCTGCTAGAATTTCTCCAGTTGTTGACAGTAATTCTGGTTAAAGTAAGGTTCAATTATGTGAAAAATATCTAGTTATAGTTGCTAGTTCTTATAAAGTGAGTTCACTTTTAATCGATAAAAATTCTGTCTTCTACAACGTTAAAATTGATATATCTATTAGAACGCATTAAATCTCACTATACAACCAAATAATGAGTTCAAAGTTAAGCAAAAGACAGAATATATTTTACAAAAATATGCATAAAACAGGTTCTTCTATTTAAGATTCTTGGGTTCGAACGCATATGAAAGACACAAAGCAGAAAGCCAGAAGACATTATCAGAAAAAAAGCTAGTGAGCAGGTGTAATTGGAGAAAACCCATGTCCTAGAAATCGCTGAAAAATT